GCAGCTCCCAGACTTTGTTATCAGGGAGGAGCTGAGAAGTCCTCTTCCTGATCTCACACTCAAGAATCCCAAGGAAAAGATTTGATTGGCTCAACAGAGTCAGCTCCCAAAATTATGTGATCACAAATGGGCCAGGGTGATAGGCAGGCAAGTGACCCACTTCTCCAAGCCTGCCATAGCATGGACTCACACACCTGCCACCTTCCACCTCTGTGACACGTTATGTTTGACTTTTTAAAAAAGCACTCCCAACATCAACAGACTCTTTGTTGACCAACATTTTAATGTATAAATAAACTCTCCTTGTTTTTTTTACAAAGAAGGTGATGCCACAGAATCTTGCTACACAAATTCCCAGAAATTTGTAATAGAGACTAGTGATAAATTCTTTTCTGAATGAGGCAATCAAATTTTTGGAAAAATCACAGAATATTACATCAATCTAGGTCATGAATGGTACAGAAGCAAAGGATGGACAGAGTGATTAAGTGAAGCCAGAGATTTCAACGTTGGCATCTTAGCTAATAATTGTGTGATCAGGGTAGGTTATATAAGCCCTCCAAGCCTTAGTTTCCTCTTCTTGTAAAATGGGCATACAATTACTACACTATTTGTCATCATTGTTAAGTTTCATTGAGTTGAGTAGCGACCCTATGAACAACATATCTGAACTTTGAACTACATTATTTAGGACGGGCTAATTTATATTATGGTGATGGCCTACCTCCAAAGCTTATCCTATATGATATGATATGATATATATGATATTGCTCTGGCTGTGCAACCCTTGGTAATGGGATAACACCTAACAGAGCAGAAGTCAGAGTTGAACTCCATGATATGTGAGTCGCAGGTGAGAACTCTGGTGCCTGCTAGTCTCCAAGAGAGGCTTTGGGAGAAAAAGTCTTCACATCTAGAGTGCTGTGAAGATGTTATTTTAGCTAGTGAGAAAGAAGGATGGTATGGAAATTGTCATTGCTGTTTATGAAATATTTTAAGATCTCCCTCCCCCAGGAACATTTAAAATGATACAGTCTACACATTACCATTCCCCACTCTTACTTTCTGAGCACTGTTCATAGAGTTTCTGGAGGCAAGGCATTTTGGAAGTGGATGCCACTTCTGCTTCCAAGCTTGTTTTAATTGGGAAGCTCCACCAAACACTGTCCACCATGGGCAACCATTATTAAATCTGGCACGTCAGTGTAAGTATTTAGCATCACAGCAACCACGAGTTACCTACCCTCATGGGTTTTTAAATAGAAGGCTTATCACAAACGCCTCACTTCCCTTAGCAAAAACATTCCACCCTACAGCTCACCAATTCCAGCCAACAGCTTCTGTAGAACCAGCTCCTGTAGATGACTTTCAAACTGGTCTCCAGCACCATGCTGCCTACCCTCATGGGCTTTTAAATAGATAAATGTGATAATGGTTATCTATGGCAGACAGTGTTTTGTGGAGCTTCCCGATTAAAACAAGCTTGGAAGCAGGAGTGGCATCCACTTCCAAAATGGCTTGCCTCTGGAAACTCTATGAACAGTGTGCTCAGGTCTTTCATTCATAGGGTCGCTATGACTCATCTACGACTCCACAGCACTTAACAGCAATAACAACAACAACAACAACATACAGCTAAGTTGGCCTAGTGGAAAGAAAGTTATGCTTCTAAGCCCAAGATGGTGATTTTAATCTGTGGCCCTCAGGCGTGGTTTAAATTGTTTTTGTCAAACATTCTTCTACATGGTATAGCACTGGTCTGAGCATTGCTGTACAGAGGTAACTCTTGGATGCTGTGATTCTAAACACTGTGACACTGATGTGCCAAATGCGATAATGGTGACCCATGGTGGACAGTGCTTGGTGGAGCTTCCCGATTGTATACCAATGAAAGAATTTTTCTTACACTTTTCAAAGAGAAGAGCGAACTGGGGAGGAGGGGTGGGTAGGGAGAAAAATGCAATAATGGATGAATGGAAATCCAAAGTCTCTGTAAACATTCATTAAAATTAATAATTTAAAAAAACAAAACAAAACAAAAAGAAATTCAGCATTCAGAAATTTCAGCATTCCTCAAGCTGAAAAAATTGAAAAACAAATTCAACTCTTAAGTTGCAATACTGATTATGGGACAATTTCTGGATGATTCAGGAAGCATCAAAAGAAGATGGAAGGCTGTGTGTAAGATTTGAGATGGCACTGGTACAGCAACAGACACGTAATCAATGGAATAGAATTGAAAACTCAGTAATCAGGTCATCTACCCATGGCCAAGTGTTTTTTTTTTTACAAGGAGTTGAAATCTGTTGATTGGGGAAATTGCAGTTTCTTTAAGAAACGGCGTTGGCAAGATTGTAAAACCATCTACAGAAAACTTAACCAAGACCCATCCCTCATACCATATACAAGAACCAACTCAAAGTGGATCAGGGAATTAGGAGTAAAACCAAATTGAAAAAATTCATCACACCAAAGTTAGGACCAACTCTAGAACCCCTAATCCACAGCATGAGAAGACTTTAAAGCATAATGAAAAATCTACAACCAAGAGAGAATAAAAGAGATGAATTCTTCTAAGAATCAGATCCCTATGCACATCAAAAACCTTCTGCAACAGGATAAAAAGGAAACTCACAGACTAGAGGAAAATATTTGGCAATGATATATTTGATAAGTGATTCATATCTAAAATTTATAGAATACTCCAGCACCTCAATAAGAAAAAGGTAAACAACTCAACTGCAAAATGGGTCAAGATATTAATAGACACTTCACTGAAGAAAACATTCAGATGGCGAACAAATGCCTGAAGAAATGTTCAAAATCTCTAGCTATCAGAGAGATGCAAATCAAAACAACTATGAGATACCAGCTCATCCCAGCAATGAGAGCTAAATTTAACAGGGCAGAAAAAAACAAACGCTGGCGAGGTTGCAGAGATAATAGAATTCTTATTCACTGCTATTGGGGATGTAAAATGATACAACCACTATGGAAGGCAGTCTGGCATTTCCTCAAAAAATTAGAAATGTGACCCAGCAGTTCCACTAATGAACCGGAGCTGCGACTCAAGCAGATGGATGCAGACCCATGTACATGGCTGCATTATTCACAATAGCAAGCAACCCGAGAGCCCATCAACAAACAAAACGATAGAAAAACTGTGGTACATTAACACAATGGACTATCATGCAGCATTGAAAAACAATGAACTCATAAAACAATACACAAAATAGGTGAACCTGGAAGACACTATGCAGAATGAAATATCTCAGTCACAAAAAGATAAATACTGTATAACACCATTGTTGTAAAATAGGACAGGTGGGGGAAGAACAGGAACAGAGTGGATAGATAATGAACACTGAATATAAGGGAGGAACTGTCTGAAAGGTATATGTAATTGGGCATCGTATGTATGACAACGGAACCAGAGGTGCGATGTGAAGTGAACTGGGGGAGGGAGGAGGAAAGGGAAGGGGAAGATGAGCAACAACGAGTGCATGAAAACCCAACTTTTCTGTAAACTTTCTTTAAAACCACAATAAAAAAATTTTTTTTAAAAAAAAGAAGATGGAAAGAATATAAAGAATCACTGTACTTAAAGGAATTGGTCAACACTAAAATATTTCAGAAAGTATTATATAACAAAGGGCCCATGGTAATGAAAGAATAAATTCAAACTGCACCGAAGGTATTGTCTAAAAATAAGACCCCAGGAATTGATAGGATACAGATGCAGCCCTGGATGTGCTGTGTATGCCAGGAAACTCGGGGACAGCTGCCTGGAGAAGATCTATTTGTTCCCATTCCCAAAAAAGGTGATCTAACAGAATGTGGAAATTATCAGACAATACAGTTTATAGCACCTGGAAATCAAATCTTGCTGAAGATCATTTCAAAACGTAACAATACATAGAGAACTGTCAGAGATTCAAGCTGTGTTTAGAAGAGACCATGGCACCAAAGATCTCATTGCTGATGTGTTTTATTGCATCTGCAAAGCAATTTGACTGTCTGGATCATAACAAATTATGGCCAACATTGAAAGAAAGGGGATTCTAGAACGATTGCTTGTGCTCATGTGAAACATACCTACATCAATCAGGAAGGTGCTTTGGGAACACTTCATGAGAACACTGCGTGGTTTAAAATCAAGACAGATGTGCGTCGGGGTTGTATCCTTTATCCATACCTGTGTAATCTCTATGCCGAACAAATCTTTCGAGTAGCTGGACTTTATGAAGATAAATGTGGGGACAGGATGGAAGGCAGCCTCATCAACAATGCCCGGGTGGATCTCCACAACCCCATGCTGTTGTTGTTGTGTATCATCGAATCGGAACTGACTCATAGCTGATGCGCCAGCGGGTTTTCAGAGACAGTTAATGGCACGGGAGGAGATAGCCCATCCTTCTCCCACAGAGCAGCTGGTGGTCTCGAATCTCAAGCCTTCAGGATTGTAGCGCAGCTTCTTGCCTCTAGGCCACCAGAGCTCCCCTCCACAACTCTATAGACCCCAGAAATCAGGATTCTAAAACAATTTAAACTGTTTCTCATTCTCCAGAACCTTGAATGCCGAGAGGTAGTTTAAAATGGAATGCAGAGACCTTAGGGATTCATTGCTTTCCTGGCCTCCAAGATCCTCCCCACAAGGTTTCTGCAGTGCAACCTTCAAGCGCATCTATTTCTAACTTCCGCTCTCCACCCTCTGCGAACTACAATTCCCAGAAAGCCCTGCGTCTTGGGGCGGGCCCCAAAGAGGGGCGGAACCCACACGCCAGTCATAGAGGTGAAGCCTGGGCGGGGTTTGGGAATATCAACTTTTGATTGGCTGTAGGTACAGAGGCGGAGCCCGCGCGCTGTTGGTGAGGTCGGCAGGACCCGGGGACGGCGCTTGGATTTCCCGGGCCGGGAGCGCGGGGCGTGTCGGGAAAGCAGGACGGTTACCTGCTCGGCTGCCGTCCGTCCTGTGTCCACTGTCACCCGTGGCCTTGGACATGCAGAGCACAGACGTGGGCAACAAGGAGAGTGGCAAGATATGGCATCGCAAGCCCACGCCGGCCACTCGGGACGGGTAAAGGCCGCGGCGGGAGGGCAGGAGGGCTGGCGTGCTGTCCAGGGCATCCTGCCCCGGGCGCACCTCCGGGCTTCCAGCTGTCACATGCGACCCTCCCGGGGACACCTGATTCCCTTGAGGACATTCGGTGTCACGAAATATCCTTAAGATCGTAATGTTTCTTCCACGATGTTCTCTTGAGGTTTCAAAACCGCTTACCACGAATTACACACAAGTTCTTGGATGTCCATACTTATATGACAGTTACTCAGTGCACTGTGTGTAGTATACCCAGCTGTTTCCACTCAATCACAGCTCTGTACTGACGTTTATATGTGCGTATTGGTTGAATGTCTTTCCTGCTAAGCCATAAATTCTATGAAGGCAAAGACTTTATCACATTAGTCTTACCTTCTGGTTAGCTAAGTGTCTGACACAGTGAGTTGAGAAATTAATTGTGATTCTAGACAGGAGGCGAAATCAGCAGTAGGAGAGGCATGGGGGATGGGTAAAACAGTTTCAAAATCAACATAAAGATTAAGTTTATCATAATATCAGGTCATGCTTGGTCTGTTTATTGTGCTTTGTCTTGTTTTTGACAGAATTATAGTCAACATCGTTCACAACACTTCTGATTATCATCCCAAAGTTTTGCGATTTTTGAATGTGGCTTTTGATAGCTCAGGTGATTGCTTAATTGCTGGGGACCATCAAGGAAATATCTATGTTTTTGACTTGTGTGCCAACAGGTAAGCAGACACTTGAATTTTATATTATGCAACAGTTTACTGCCTGTTTATGCCTGTTGTTGTTAAAGGGGCACTAGGGGCCTGGTGCATAACTACTGTGGGACGTGAAACCAGAAGTTAATGGTTCAAATCCAGAAGTTGCTCCTCAGGAGAAAGATGGGCAGTCTGTCTGTCCCAGTGGAGGGTTGCTGTCGGTCAACCTGATGCAGTGGGTTTTGGTATTCGTTGTTTACTCAGGATATTTATTAAGTTCTTCCACTTTCTGTGGACTGTTGTACCTTCAAAACACCAACCATCCTAAGTGCTGATGAAAGGAAATTATATGATGATAGTGCAGTTGGATTTCTAACAGAATTAGAGAGCTGATTTTGGCAGTATCTCTAGTAGCTTGTTTTCCTGTCAATTACAAATACATAATTGTGAATTTATCAGTTTCTAGCAGTTCGTTAGACAAATGAGGAAGAACATAATATCTTGGTACATTAGGTCTAAGGCTTTAAAAGACTTCATCCAATCTTCCCTTCCTCATCTCTTTCCTTACCAAACAAATTAGTCCGGAAGTAATGGGACAGGACCAATCAAGATAGAGATCTAGACAGTAGGGTGGACTGGGAGGGAGGGAGGGATCGATCAACCCAGCAATGGAGTCAGAAGTTATCTATCGGAGAGGTGGAGGTATGGATGGAAAAATTGGTTTAATACTGAGTTTTAATAAAATGAAACGACCACCTCTCTTATGGTTCTAATCTACCACCAACACCTCCCTGCTGTTTGCATCTCTCATTGCCGTCAAGTTGGGACAGACTCATAGCTGAACCTACAGAAGGTTTTCAGAGGCTGTAAATTGCGTGGTAGGAGATGACCCATCTTTCTCCAAGAGGGCTGTTGATGGATTCGAACTGCCTGCCTTTGGATTGGCAGTGCAACTCCATACTTAGTAGGCCACCAAGGCTTATGGTCTCTTAAAAACCTGCTGGAGGTTCAGCTATGCATCATTTCCAGCTCAGCAGCAATGAATAGCAGTGGTTAATAAATATGCAAAGGCAATAACGGAGGTCAGGCTTCTCACTTTTGAAAAGTTTTGAAAGGGAGAAAACAAAAACCAAGAAAGAATCCTGTGGTACTAGATGGAATTGGATGTGTCGATGTGCTTGCACAGTTTTGAACAGGTGTAGAGATACCAGAGAAACTCAGCTGCTGTCATTTGTGACTTGCTTTGCATTTCCTTTTTTTTTTTTAGATTTAATGAAAGTTTATAAAGAACTTGGATTTCCATTCATTCGTTGTTGCACATTTCCCTCCCTGCCCTCCTACCCCCCCACCCCATTTGCTTTTTTTCTTTGGAAAAAAAGTTATTTCATTGTTATATAGGCCCTCACCCCGAAGTCCAGTTTACTATGCAGCTCTTATTCTGGATTCTTGTCATGGCAATAATACCTAATCCTATATTCCTTTTATACAATTCTCTCCATCGTCTATTTCAATGCTGTGTACATTATTTATCCCCTGTTTTCTTAATTTCTCCCCAACCCCCATGTCAGTCCTGTTTTATAACAGTGGCATTATGCAGTATTTGTCCTTTGTGACTGAGATATTTCACTCAGCATAATGCCCTCCATGGTCACCCATTTTGTATAGTATTTCATGAGTTCCTTATTTTTCAGTGCTTCATAATATTCCATTGTGTGACTATACCACAGCTTCTCTATCCATTAGTTTGTTGGTGGGTTGCTTTGCATTTTTTTTTGGACAGTGCTTCTCCAAGTATTTTTCCAAGGGCTTAGAACTCAGTATGTTTAAAATCAAATATTCTTTCTTTCCTATTCATGAGTTTGCTTCTCTTATTTCTAAATCCAGAAGCTTATTTCTCTTTAGAAGTTAGACACCAGCCACATGCAGAACAATCAGTTTAACTCCTGACCTGTGTTACTTCCATCTAGTCCTTCAAATGCTGTGATGAGGTGAAGAAGTTCCGGCACTAACACAGTCCTTTCTTAATAGGTTTAACCTCGTCCAGCGGACAGCACAAGCTTGCACCTCTCTGGCCTTTAATCTCCGTCGGAGGTCGGAATTCCTTGTGGCGTTAGCAGATTATTCTATTAAGTGTTTTGATACAGGTAAGAAGTCCTATTTGTCTTTTTGATGCTGGGTAAAAACTGAGGCACAAAAATAAACATACTTTTTTAGCACCTCTATTTGTTATATCACATTATATATTTTCTTAAGAGATTTGAGTTCTATAGACAGAACCTCAGTACTTACCAAAAATATTATCTCAACAGTATTTTATATTAATTTATATGTTATAACATTTCAAAAGATGGATAAATTATAATAATGATAGCTAACATTTATGTTTACTCTTTGCCAGGTACTGTTCTTTGAATTTATAATCATTATTTTGTTTTTATCATCACAGTAACCCAGATGATATGGACTGGGGCAATGGGGGTTGGTGCGTCAGAATTAATGAGACTGGCTCAGGACGGCAGGGTTCAGAGCTGCTATGCATAGAGTCGCTATGGGTCACAGACAACTCAGTGGCACATAACAACAACAACCCAGAGAGATAGATGCAATTACTATATCCATTTTGCAGATGAGGAAATTGAGGCACACGAGAAACTTGGCTGAGGACCCACAGCTTGGAGGTGGGGAAGCCAGATTCCAGCTTAGGAATGGTCCTTGCTCTTAATTTGTATTCCAGAATGCTGAGTCTTGTGCTCGTGTGTGATTGCTTGCCTTGGATTCTGTCCACCGTCTCCTGGACATGCTCTTCTTTCCCTCATTACTATTGGATTCCCAAATTCCCGTCCCAGCAGAAGCCTTCCCAGATGCTCCCTCAGCGTTCCTGATGCTCTAAATCCCCAGCTGTTTCTCATTCTTCCCTTTATGGCCGGTTCTCACTTTTTCAAAGTAGAAGAACCCAACTTTTAATTGTTCTAATTGACATTGGGGGAAAGAAAAAAAGACCTGATTTTATTTTGTAAAATAAGGGGTTTCTTTAAATAGCAAGAGATCTGAAAGGACAGAGTGCGAGCTTAAAGATAATACTTTAAAAAGAAATTTTACTATTATTAATTTTAATGAAAATTTACAGAGATTTTGGATTTCTATTCATTCCTTGTTGCACTTTTCTCCCCACCCACCCCTCCCTTCCAGTTGGTTCTTCTCTTTGAAAAGTAAAAGAAAAATTCTTTCATTGTTATACAATACCTCCACTCAAGTCCATTCTGCTACGCAGCCTTCCGTTCTGGACTCCTGTAAAGATAATACTTTAAATTTACTTTTAGGAAAGTGTCATCTCATTGTTCTCATTTCACTAAGACCAAGGAAAAACTGATCATTGACTGAAGCCAGACATCAGGCTGCGCTTGGAAGCCACCTGCTCGCTAAGGGGCCATCCTTTCTTCTTTCTTCAGTTTTGACCAACTTTGTATCCAAAGATTTGTTTCTTTCTTTCTTTCCATTTTGCTGCCTAGGTTCTTATCTTGACTTTCAGCTATTTGCTTCCATCTTTCTGGCTTGAGGGGTGGACAGAAATTTCAGTTATGAAAGTAATAACACACCAACTGTAGAAAACTAGGAAATGTACAGAAAAAAAGAGAAAAAAGAAAAGTCATTTAACATTTTGCAGCACCAAAATTACCCTGAACTTTTTTTTTTAAGTTGTGAGTAACATTTGCTGTTCAGCAGTCGCTCCCTGTACAATTAGTTGGTGTTATGATCGTGTTCACACATTGCCCTTGGCTGAGCCCAGATCTATGATGATTGATTTTATGTGTTTTCCCACACGCTGTTTCCTCTGCTTGTACATACATACATGCTCACTCGTTCTCACATCTCCAAGTGTTTTTAAAAATTCATTGTCTTCTCAAATTGCCAGATCACTTCTTCCGCGTGTATTTCTTACGTTAGTAATAATGTCGCTGTATACTTATTTAACTCATCTAGAACCATTGGCATTTTAACTCTTTCATCTCAACACATCCATTAGTTCTCGAATTTGTTCCTTTCTCAATAGCTGCATTTTTAGTTTGTGTACTCTATCTCTTGCCTGCATTATTACAGCAAAATAGAAATTATTCTTTTCATCCGTACTTTAGTAGAGCCTCCAGGACCCTTTCTAAAATGCAGACAGGTACTGTATAAGACTTTGGAAGCAGGAGTGGCATCCACTTCCTGAACAACATGCCTCTGGAAACTCTGTGAACTTTGATAAATGACAATAGTTATAAAAAGGCTTCAGGCCTTTTGTTCATAGGGTCGTGTTTGATTCGACAGCAATCAGGAAGAGCTGTAGAAGAGTATTTCTCACAGGTGAAAGCCCTCACTCCTGAGCATCGCTTTGGAAGCTGTCCTTCCCCAGTCCCTTTTTCTTTTTGCCTCAGCTCCTCAGACCTGCATGATTCACTTGTAGCCGACATGCTCCATAACACACTGTATCCGCGAGCCTCAGGCTTCCGCTTGTGTAGATGTTAAGTGGAGGTATTTCCTGTCATGCCTCGCCATCGGTGGAATAGCGTGTGGTTCTCCCGTAGCAGTGTTCTCCTGTGTCATAATTTCCTCTCCCCGCATAGTGACCAAGGAGCTGGTGAGCTGGATGAGAGGGCATGAGTCGTCCGTGTTCTCGATCTCTGTGCACGCATCCGGGAGGTATGCCATCACGACCTCTTCTGATACCGCTCAGCTCTGGGACTTGGACACCTTCCAGCGGAAAAGAAAGCTGAATGTGCGCCAGTCTGTGGGTATACAGAAGGTCAGTGGGGACGGGAGTCTCGGCCTGCTGTGATTCACAGGCTAGTTCCTTGAGCGGAAAGATTTGCAGATGATGTAAAAGTAGTGATTCGCTTTGTCTCACACAGCCGTGTTCGTCAACGTAGGAACAAGAAAGCAGAATGGCCAGCAGAGTTAAAGATGCGGCTGCCTAGGAGGGCTCAGGCTTCCACGTTCTAAAGTTTGGTTTCCCCTGACCCAGCCCAGAATTACCACTGTAGCTATTTGGCTTCAATTTTCATAAAGATTATAGGCTTTTTTTTCCTAGTGATTTCACTTCATCTTTTACCTTCACTATTTTATGAAAAATTTCTAACTGAAAGAATTTCACAACGAACATATTACATCAACCACCTAGATTTAACAGGATTTACCATGTTTCTATACTGTGTACATTTTACTATGGGAAGACATTTTACCCTACTGTATCATGGATCCATCCACCTGTCTGTCCGTCTCCTCACTGATACATCTTTTTTCATTTTTGCATTTTACTGTCAGTTGGAGGCATTCCTATTAAAAACCCAAGCCTGTCCACATCAAGTTGATTCCAACTCCTTGTGACCTAATAGGACACGGTTGGCCTGCTCTGAAGGGTTTCCAAGGATGCGTTATGCTTTATGGAGGCCGATTATCTCATCCTGGCCCCTGCAGGGTGGCTGTTAATCCACGACCTTTCATTTAGCACCAACTGCTTTAACCACTGCGCTATACAAGGGCCTTATATAATGTACACATCTGTATAATTGATACGGTGACTGCGACCTTGAACATGGGGTAGATCATGAAGATGGTACAGGGCAGGGCAAGGCAGGGTCTGGGGCTGTTAGCCATAGAGTTACGGTGAGTCATAATCAACTTGCCGGCCTCTAACAACACCATACCGTCTGTGCACACTGGTTATTGTCATCATTCCAGAAAGTTCCATCATGTCCTTTCCTAATCAATCTCCATTTCAGTTAAGCTCTGCACTAATGTTATTTTCTGGATCTAGAGATGTAGCTCGATGGTAGAACACAGTGTCTCATGAGCCACAGATCCCAGGTTCAGCTTTCATTCCTGGTCTAAGCTAATGCTATTTTCTACCACAGATACATTTAATTTTGCTTTAGAGTTTCAGATGCATAGAACCATTCAAGACGAGTGTACTCTTTGATAATGACATTCTATACTCAGCAAAGTACTTTGGAAGTCATCCATGTTGTGTGTTTTTATATTTTTACTCATTTTCACTGTTGATTCCATTATATAATGTTGTTGTTGTTGTGTGCTGTCGAGTTGCCTGTGACTCATAGCAACCCTGTGTACAACAGCCCTAAACCCTGCTTTATCCTGTGCCAATCTCATTGTCTCCAACAC